TGGCCGTTCGAGCCGCATTTTGATGGTCGTATAGGGCCTGCATGGCTCTCTGCTCGGATTCCAGTTGGAGATCAGTGGCGGCCGTGCCTCCACGCTCTGCATGCTCTTGATCACTGGCAATGTCAATTTCTGTCGTGGCCTGTGGGCGCTCTTGCGTCGATCCAGGGTGGTCAGGTGGTGTCTCAGGGTTCCTGCAAACGGGAGCCTCCTGCCTTTGAGCATTCCGACTGGCGAGGTCTGCCAGTGTGGCCGGTGGTTGCTCATGTTCAGGAATGCTGCCGAGTGGTTGCCTGGATGTTGGAGCAAGTGATTTTCGTAACTTCTTGGACTGAGCTCGCCCGGCACTAGCCTTAGACCCCGGTCTTCGTTTGATTGGGGACTCAGAGGAGTGCGATGTGGGGCTGCTACTTGAGGGGTCCACGTCCTGTGGGGGTAGCTCGCTCCTTGCGTCGTCGTCTGCCTCCAGCATTTCATCTTGCGCGGGGCATGCGTCAGGAAGGGCCGGACGATTGCTAAGGCAATCACCCTCTTCTTTAGAGGAGATGTTAGCGCTATCATCTTCTTCCATTTGTGCATCGTCTTCCTCCGGTTGCTCTGTGCTCGGGATAGTGGGCGACTCGGAGGAGGAGCTGTGGACTGAGACTGCTTCATTTGCGTCGTCATCAGCCATCGCAGCATCTGTAGCCGCCAGAGAGGACAGCGATTGTTCCTCTTGCACTTCATGTTCCTCTTTTTCTGGTTCACGATCAGAGACAGAGGTGTACCGGCCCGGAGACAACTTCTTCTCTTTAAGAAGCAGTCTTTGAACCTCCTGGCTCAACAGATTATTACTGAGAGCTTTGAGCCGATATGTCTTGAGCCAAAAGGGCTACGGAAAAAGAAGTCCTTCCCTCAAAGGAGACTTTCGAAGGGTGTCCATTCCAAGACATTCTCCCTCGCAGTCCACGTCCCCATGAATCCAGAGGAGATGGTCCCTGATGGCGCTTTCGCAGCGGTGCCGCGTCTGCGTCACGTCAGCGTAGAAGCAGGAATCAGGGTGGGTGCAGAGGCATGGCAGTGTTGTTGACAGCTACGGATAGTTAGAATGCCAGCTTCTTCGGTGGTGAGAACAGCAGACAACACATTCCGAAATTGCCAGCTGCTCAACAGCGTCACAGCGCCTGGCTGCGTGGAGTTTGGCCAAAAAGTCTTTGCTGAATGCAGCTCTCTGCAGTGGGTCCATGCTATTGAGGGCGTGGCGAATCAATTTTGTAGTTCCACCAAACTTGGGCATTATCTCTTTCGAGATTGCATCAACTTAGCCACTTTTGTCCTGCAAGAGGCGCTCATCCACAAGAGTTGCCAGCTTGAATGCGTGCCAGGGAGCTGTCGCAAGGATGTTCCACAGGGACAGGTACACTTGAGCTTGCGAGGGACTTCCAAGTGTTGGAAGCGCATGCCTGTGACAACTGTCAATTGTTGAAGAAAGTCGATCTTTCGAACACAAAGATCGAAGAAATTCAGGAATTTACATTTGTGCACCCATGCACGCCATACCACAAGAGTAAAAGCCTTCATGAACTGTGCTGCACTGCCAGAACCCTCACTGCACTACATTGCCAGCCGAGCCTTTCTGGACTGCACTCCGTGGGCTTGTCAGGCTCCCAGGCCAGCATTAATGGAGGGGAATAATGTAGAAGAAAATGCTTTTGCCATTTGCCCTGCCATGAGATGGCCGCCTTGTTTGCGCATGATCCCTGACAGTGGTACGCGTCCGGCTTGGCAAGGGTATGGGCGCTGTGTGTGCCCACAAGTCACCAAGTCGAATTCAGATGGGGGGCACATGAGCTGAGCCTGACAATCAAAACAGGCAGCAACAAGCCAAAACACCAACACAAAAAACACCAACCAAAGCAACCAGAACCAAAACCAAGAGTCAGCTCCTACTGTTCGAGTGTGAGTCAGGCCCCGCAAAGCAGATGGAGTCGTCATCCTCGCCTACATCGCCTGCAGTTTTGTGAGCCTACCGGAATGGGAGCCTAGCTTCGTCCATGGTTGGCGGGTGGTAGCAGAGCGGTTGATGGATGGCGCCCAGAGAGAACCTTAGTTGCTCGTCTGCAGGAGCCGAACCACAGCCAATCTTGTACAAAGATGGCGTCAGCACCATGCTAGGATGGGTCATTGTTTCACCTGTTTCACATGGGCCATGCGTGTTGAAGGATAGTGACCTCAATGCTCACTATCTGATGGAAGAGTGAACAACCCCCATAACCCCTTTGGCTAACGCGTGGGAGCCATTGGGGGTGTCTCTTGTGGGAGGGAAATCAGCACGTCGTGAGCAGTCCTTTCGTTGCGATGCCTTCCACTGCCACACTCAAGATAAGCCTCTGCTTTTCGTATGTGCAATCAGTAGTATGGATTGTGCCACGGAGAGGGAATTTTCCACGGCTTGCCATGCTTTGCAACTGATGACTCTTTGGCATTTGTCATTGACAACTGCTGACTTTGCTCTTGGTACTTCGCATGATGTCAAAATACTTCGAGTGCCAACCATCAAAAGTGGCGTGGATGACCTCATCCTTGCCAATGGAGTGCGGCCACATTTGATTGGCCGATCCGTGCGAATACTCACGACCAGAAGCATTTTGCCTTTCGTAGAGAATTCAGGCCCTTAGATATTTTGCAGCTTGTCTTTCTCACCAGTTTCACTTTCAGTACAGAGGAAACACTGCCCACATTGATAGGGGGTCCGCTGTGGTGGTTTTTGTTGTTTGTTTTGGGGTTGGGTTTCGGGTTTTGTTTGGTGTTTTGGTGTTGGTGGTTTTGGTTTGCTTCCCCCATCAATATGCAGTGTTTCCTTTCCTTCTACGATGACCTGGCACCGCCCACATGGCGTCCGCACTCGTGGAAAAAAATATGCCCCTTGCCTTGGCCGTTCAAAAGCACATTAATGAATGCCTTTCAAACAAATAGGCGATTCGCACGAATAGCCCACTGTAAGTCAGCAATAAAATGTAAGTCAGCTCGCTGATGCATTCTTATTGCAACGTCAGCCTTTCGCAAAAAATTGTTAATGGAAAATTTTTTTACCAGAACATTTGCATGCGTTCGACGTGGATTCACAATGACGACTTGAACCATCGAAGGCTTGTCACATTCTTCAGCCCTGCCGTTCGAGCATGTTCGATCAAACCTCCGCCTACAGGCTCAGAAGTCAGTTGCATTGGCATGTAATTGCACCATGATACTGTTGACATGCGCTGGCATGATGTTGTCATGGACCTCCTTGACATGATATTTGTTTCTTTGCCCGCCCTCCACTCCCTGTGGAGGCCACTTCGTGCCCTCTTTGCACTCAATTGGTCCTGCCATCGATGCTTCCTGCATCGACCTGTGTTCCTTCACGCTGCCTAACCCAGCCGTCAAGAGGACGGCCTCGTGAGACTCCCCAATGTTGTCTGAGAAAAAGGAGCGAGTGGTCGAGCGCAAACGAAACGACAAATGTGTCAGTTTTCACAGTATTTGAACCATGTCTTGCACAGTAAGCATTTGTTTGCATATGCCCCTTGCCTTGGTCGTTCAAAAGCACACTAATGAATGCCTTTCAAACATATAGGCGATTCGCACGAATAGCCCACTGTAAGTCAGCAATAAAAAGTATTATATACTCATGCCAAATGCTCCACTGGACCAAACCCGCTCTTGATGAAGTTCACTCGGAACTATCAGTTTTGAAGAAACAGTGACAAGAACAATTGGATAAATGGGCAAGCAGTGTCTGAGGTTTTGACTGCGTCTGCTTCGCGGAAGTCAAAAGACGCAATGCAAATGTACCGTATGTGATGAAAACATGATTTCGACGCGAAGCACTGCGAGGGTAGATTAATTTTCTCCTTAACATACGTTGTTGTTGGTTTCTTAAAAAGACGAGGGGG